GATGCTAATTAATTAGTTGGTGTTGCTATCTAATTGGTGATGTTACCACGTCGACACACTTGGAGAGACATTTGGTGACCTGTTATTCTGGTGCTAAAGTCCATTCCCTCCAACATTTTCTTCAAAAGAGCCCTAAGGGATTCCTTTGTGATCTTTCTTCCTCCTGGATCCTAGGTGACTGTTATGCTCCATTAAGGCTTCAGGACCCTCCTGTATGCATAGGTCAAGGTGTGTGATTGTTGCAAGTTGGGAGAGAACCATGAAGTGTGTGTGTGTCTGATGAAAGCATCTATCTCCAAAAGACCGTGTGGGAACATGCCTTGAAGGTTTGAACAATCAGAGACATATTTTAAACCCTCTTTGATATACTGCTAACTTCTTGCATTGCTATCATTTCCTGACATCAAATCCTACAATAATTCATACTTGACACCCTCCACAGTCAGAAAGGCATCTAGGTTACAAACACTAACCATTAGACACGCAAAGAAGAGACAAAATCATGTGTATGTATCAAACACAAACGATTGATTCCATACACTAAAACATGAGAATGATTACAACCAACGAGAACCATATTAGGGCAAAAAGCACTTGTGGGACCTTACATTGAGTGTGTGCCATGCTATCTTTCTGAGAAATTGCATGGCTAGTCATCCAAAATTTATAGGTATAACTATATTGCAATATCTTCACACATGTTGTGTCTGTCAATCCCTACAAACCCAGACTAGTTATTGTCACATAAAGAATTTTCATAGTGAAAGGTGTACTGTATAGATTGATTCATTTCAATAGTGTGAGCAATGTATTGGATGCACAAAATATATATCTTTTGATACTTCAATACAAACCAATAACAGATCACTATAACTGAGTAGAATGGAGGAGTAACTTACCTTTCCAAACAAGTACAGGGTACCAGAATTGCCACCAAACATCTCCTCATGCGCATCAATTATGTAGAAAGGAAGAGATCCATCAGTATCCAGGGTAAACTCAGACTTCTCATCAACGTCAACATTGACCTTTGACTCATTAACCCCTGCTTCAGGCCCAGCATGCGCCTCTTCCCCACATACAGCCCTCCAGCCAGCAGTCGCACTCATCACAGAAGCATCATTTTCCACTTTAATTTTTGCATTAAGAGAAAGCCTCTTTTCATTCTGTGGCTCCTCCATCTTAGCATCAGATTTTACCTCATTGAAACCACCATCAATCGCAGGTTCAACACTATGATCCAAATCCTTCTCTTCTCTTGCTTCCATATCCACATGATTTTCATGTCCCATATAATCATCTTCTTGAAGCCCCCTCTCTGATTCTGCCAATACCTCCTCATCCTTGGCCTTACCAGATTCGACTACACGATCATTGACGACAGGCTGCGGCAGCTCAGCCTTAATTTGGGCCACCGGTGGCGTCAAGATAGCAGTTCGAGACATGTTAAGGATTCCGCTTGCCAAGCTCCGCCGCCTCCTCTCCTCCCGGTCGGTCTCGTCGGGTGCAAATTCGGCAATTACATCATCCACAATGCTGTCAGAAGACAAGGAGGATCCCTTCGTCCGATCGTTCTTCTTGAAGACCGAGGATGTGAACATGGAAGACAGGCGTTGCTTGCCCATCATCGCCGCAGCCGCCGAGAGAGAGGAAGGCGGGGGCTTTTTAGGCGCAGGGTCCTTCCTGGGCGCCTTCCGCTTCTTGGGCCGCTCCTCCTCGCCGCCCGACAGGTCCTCCTCGTCACCGGAGAAGTAGGGGAGGTTGGGGTTGGACCAATCCTCCTCCTGTCCCTCGTCGGTGTAGCCGAGGCCGTCGTCGTCGACGATAAAGCCGCGGGCCTCCTCCCGACGGCGCGCGACGAGGGCGGCGTAGTCCTCCTCGGCGACCGTGTCATAGATGGGAGCCTCCATCTTGATCTGGAGACCACCGGCATCAGAACGTCGGCCACCGGAGCTGCGAAGGGCTTTGAGGCGCTCGAGGGCGGCGGAACGGACGGCGGAGTCGGAGCCACGGCTACGAGCCCGGCGACCGGAGACGGTGGGCTCCTCCATGTTCTCTCGCTCGCTCTGCTCCATGGTGCAGCGGATCGAACGACATGCGATAGGAAAAGAATCGACTAATTTGGCGGGAAGAGGATCGAGGTTTGGCGCCAAAAGAATACAAGACGACTAGGGTTTCCCCGTGGCCGGTTCGGATTCAATGTTAGGATGCAAATAGAGCAACAACTTAAAGCACCTGTAATTCTCTACCACGTGGATAAAGACAATGAACAAAGACTATTAACCGTTGCATCCTCCGTTAATGGTATTATTATATTGGACGATTTTTTCCCCCGTTTCCAAAATGTCTCTACTACTTGTAATAAATAAAAATGATCTCAATGGCAATCAACAACTTATATTTTATTTTGAGTTTCTCGTCGAAACAATCTAAATCGAGTCAATCAAAATGATTCAATGTTCGATTGAATCGATTACAATGTTTTTGAACAGAGTTATAGTGTTTTTTTGGTTCAATCGAATTAGTTTCAATGTTTTTGAATGGATTATAATGTATTTTGTTTCTGAATTAAAAACAATATAATAATATTCAATAACACTATAACACGATCTTAATTAATTCATGCGCATTAATTGTTAACCGTAATATATATATATATATATATATATATATATATATATATATATATATATATATATATATAAAGGTTTCATAAAATATTTTTTTGAGAGTTTTTATGTAATTTTGAATGAAAATTAAGAATCTTTTGACATATTTCAAGATAAAGGATGACAAGTCCTTTTTTTACGTCACATTAAATTTATTCATATATTTTTTGAAATAATATAATATAATATTTTATTTATTAAGAACGATAATAAAAAAAGTTAGAATACTTTTGAATGGACTTACTGTGTTTTTATTATCAAATCCAAATTTTATGACTCTAACAAAAAAAGATTATAACACAGTTTCAATTAATTGAAATTTTGACAAATATATAGTGATGTATATTTGGCAGCATTATAAAATTATTAATACCATAATTTAAATGATTTTGGATGAAAATTACGAACTTCATGATATGTTTCAAAATAAATCATGATAAAAATTCAAATGATTTCTATTTTGTTTTAAGTTTAGGTATAAATATTTTAAAAAATCATATAGTATTTATAGTAATTTATTATGACTGAATGATAATAAAAAAGTATTTAGTTATGATATTTTTCAATAGAGTTATAGTGTTTTTTGTTTAATAATAAAAAAATCTTGTGACTCTATTCAAAAATATTATAAATAAGAAACATTGCAACTCTATCTAAAGTTAATATAAAGCAATAACACTGTAATTGTATTAAAAATATTATAGTGGATATTTTATAAAGAACTATATATAATATAATTATCTAAAACTTTAGTCGATTAAATTTCTTATATACAATACTACACTTACTTTCTTTTTTTAATGACAATCAATATATAATATTTACACTTCTAAAATTGTCATTTTAGATAATTGATTTTTATATTTTTTTAAAGTTATATTATATATCGATAATTGATTTTTGAATGGGTATATGATTTGTTAAAATTTACAGGAGCAAACATAATATTTTCAAACTTGGAAGGACAGATATGCAATCTAATTATCCCTTCCAAACTTAAAAACCTATTACTGGAAGTTGAAATTCTAATTAATATTAACATGCTTTAAAAAATTTATTGAATTAATATAAATATTAATAATATCTAAAGCTCTTTGTAATCTTAACCATTAGCAGAAGCTAACTAACCTGATCTCACTATATGGAAATAATTTCTAAATTAACTTACATTAAAATCAGCTGATATCACTAGATGTATTGATTTCATAAAATCTAAAAATATAAAATTAATAATCAATATTGATGAATATTTAAATTAATTGATTTTTATTATAATTTTTTTAAATAAAATTATGGCGCCGATCGAATAAACCTAAATACCAAAAGTATTACAAAACATTTTTAAGTCATTTGAAGGGGAAAAAAAAAAGTAAGAATTCTCAATATGAAATGTAAAAGCATGAGATATTATCCAATAAAAATAAAAATTATTATTATTATTATTATTATTATTATTATTATTATTATTATTATTATTATTTACACCTTGCTCAAAAGTCTCCATATGTGACACTTTCTTTGCACATTATTCTTAGTGGAATCAAACAAAGAAAGTTTCTTCATAGGTAGAGCATGCCCTGCGCAACAATGACACGCACAGATCGAGAAGTAGAATTAAACAAAGAAAAAGATCATCTTTTTAGTTCATTTTGCTTTCCTTGAATGCAAGACGAATCTATACTGTATTGACTGCAAGGCTACTGCATCATCCGTGGAATCTTCCTTTCCAACAATCCCCACCCCAGAGGTCAGAGAAATATGGCAGCTTTTTTTGGTCCTTTAGGAGAACAAATGATGGCAAAACACCAATATCATTGATACCTAAAGCTAAGTGGCTATTCAGAATTGTCTGAAATCAAGACCCATCCCACATCTAGCTATAACATTTCCTCATAAACAGTTGTCATCAACCTATGATCGAGCAGCCATGGCCAGGACCTTGGGGAGCAAAACTTCCATGGTCATCATTGTCGAATGTCACCACCTAGAACACCACCCCAGTCTGCAAAGTTGACAAAGTGAGGTAGGTTTATTGAAGAAACACTTGGTGATGATGACATCCTTCCACAGCAATTAAGAATCCATCAGACAAATCTTGTTTTTTGTATGATAGCAATGAGGCTACCCTAGACTAAGAATGAGGATGATGAGCTAATAGTAGGCAGTATATCATATGAGAAAACTGTCATCTTGGAGGATTTCAATTATTTAGTGTGTCCCACATGACAGCTGCAACCTGGTCATCTTTTTTCCTTCCTCCATTGCCATTGCTGCTCATACGCTCTCTCGTATTTCCACTCTGTGTTCAGCCGCTTTGGTTGTTAGTGCCCATCTTTGGTGTATTTACATTGAGCGGTGCTTTGGACACCCACAAAGAAATCAACATTGCACACTATGATCAGCACAAAACGTGCAAATCTGTCTCTTGTAGTACTCTCCAGCTCAAGATCCCCTCAAATCTTCACTAATTTAATAGCTCACTGTGATTTCTTCTTTGTCTCTGTTATCAGCAGCAGGCACTGCTCTCTGTTCTCCTGCCTTGCTTCAGTGGAGTCTTCCCTCATCATCTTCGTCCCCTGTGTTGTCCAAATGCCTCTCTTTTCTGCTCTTTATTGATTCCAATCCATCAGGCTTCTTTAATCTCGTCAAAAGAGCATCTTTTCCAACAATCCACTAGCTAGATTAACTTATCTTACATTGTTTCTCTTAAAGATCACATTTTTATTGGAGCTCTAATTGTATTTATCTACCTATCCTACTGTCATTTGCTACTTGCTTCTTTCAGCAAAGGCCTCATTTTTATCGCCATCCCCTGCTTCGGAGGAGAAGCGAAGCGATGGCGGGTTACAGCTCGCCGTTCCTCAACGACGAGCTGTCGAAGCGCACCGTCATCTTCGGCCTCCACATGTGGGTCATTATCGGCATCGGCGTCGGCGCCGCCTTCGTGCTCCTCCTCTTCCTCATCTCCCTGTGGCTCGCCTCCAGGCGCAGCACCGCGCCGGCCGCCATCCCCAATATGTCCAAGGAAATCCAGGAGATCCACGTCGACCCGTCCCGGCTGCCGGACGCGAAGCTGCTGGGCCAGGCGCTCCAGAAACCGCCGCTCCCCGAGACCGAGCCCCCGCGGGCGTCGGTGGAGCGGCAGGCCCTGCTTGTGCCGGCGGAGGAGGAGGGGCCAGCGGCGCAGCAGAGAATCCACATTGAGATCGGGAAGGACCACCGGATCACCTATCCGGAGCGCCCAGCTGTCGGCGTCGGCGGATCGTCCCACGCCAGCGGCGAGAGCCGGTCCGTGGAGCAGGTCTCCATCGCGGCCCCTGAGGTGTCGCACTTGGGTTGGGGGCACTGGTACACCCTCCGGGAGCTCGAGGTGGCAACCAACATGTTTGCCGACGAGAAAGTGATCGGAGAAGGCGGGTATGGGATCGTCTACCATGGTACTATGGAGGACAACACTCAGGTTGCAGTGAAGAACTTACTCAACAACCGGTAGCAATCTGCAAAACGCCACCTTTTCTTTCTACTAATCTCTTCTCCTTTCACTTTGCTAGTATCAAATTTTTGGCTTGGCCTGGATTCCCCATTACTCTGAAATGTTCATATGATTGTATGTGGGAATTAATCCTTGGTTGCTTTGATATGTTCATTGATATGATGTGCCATTGTGCACAGGGGCCAAGCTGAGAGGGAGTTCAAGGTGGAAGTCGAAGCAATCGGCCGTGTTCGCCACAAGAATTTAGTGAGGCTACTGGGTTATTGTGCAGAAGGTGCTCATAGGTATTACATATTTTTCTGCCCATATTCTTCTTAGTTCATCACAATGCAAGATACAACATTCATTTAGTTATTCAGCCAAATGTTTTGCCTCTTAGGATGCTTGTCTATGAGTACGTTGACAATGGGAACTTGGAACAATGGCTTCATGGGGATGTCAGACCAAGCAGCCCTCTCACATGGGAAATTCGCATGAACATTGTGCTTGGAATGGCAAAAGGGTACACTTTGAGGGCCAATATGATGCTAGTTTAAGTGTTGTTTAATCATAGTTAAATTGTTTGGACTCCTCAGGGAGCATATCTTGAGACCAGATGTTCATGCAGGATAATGTACTTGCATGAGGGACTAGAACCAAAGGTAGTTCATCGGGACATTAAATCAAGCAACATTTTGCTTGATAAGCAGTGGAATCCTAAAGTTTCAGATTTTGGGCTGGCCAAGCTCCTGGGATCAGAGAGGAGCTACGTCACAACACGTGTCATGGGAACATTTGGGTTGGTTCTACATTCATTCGTGCAGGGTTCTAGCTAAAGGATGCCTTTCTATTGACTGAGTTGTCAATGTTTTCTTTTCTTCAGATATGTAGCTCCTGAATATGCCAGTACTGGCATGTTGAATGAGAGGAGTGATGTTTATAGTTTTGGAATTCTTATAATGGAGATTATTTCTGGCCGAAGTCCAGTAGATTACAACAGGCCGCCGGGAGAGGTTAGTTTATCGATTTATCGAGCATGACTGGTATATGTGAACTAAACTCCAAGCAATTCAGGTAAACCTAGTTGAATGGATCAAAACAATGGTCACCAACCGGAACTCCGAAGGCGTGTTGGATCCCAAGTTGCCTGAGAAACCTTCTTCAAGGGCCCTGAAGAAAGCTTTGTTGGTAGCACTGCGATGCGTGGATCCTGATGCACAGAAGAGGCCAAAGATGGGGCATGTGATACACATGCTCGAAGTTGACGATTTTCCTTACAGAGATGTAAGTCGAATCCCGTATTTTCTGTCTGAATAGTCATAGAACTGTTGCTGACAGCAAAATCCTGAGATTTTTTTTTCCTTGTGCTCCATGGTTCACTTATCTTTGTTTCACATCATATTGAATCCTTTGCTTTCTCATATATCAAGTCTTAGCTCTCGTGAGATGAATCTATATCAAAGTATAATTGGAATATACCATTTGATTTGTTGTTTATGTCTATGATTAAACTGCTAGATCAACATTTGAAGTCCACTGTAACATAATTGTCAGACTAGTGAATCTCCCGACCAACCCTCGATCCTCTGAGAAATGTGACTTTTGGCCTATGGTTTCTGTATGTTCTTGCATGCCTCTTTGTTCTCGTCTTCCATATAGATGTGCTCTGTGCCTCGAGTAAAAGCACATCAAATCACATAACTTGTGTCAATGTATTTTTGTATTCTACTATATAAAAGTGATAGATACAAACATGCGAGAAAGGCACGATTAATATGTTTCTTGTCTCTCAAATCCCACATCATGTTCATCTATTACCATACCACAACCGAGATTCTTTAAAATGAGTATTATTTCTAAATTGAAAATATTTTTTTCTTTCAGGACCGACGAGCTGTGAGAACATACCGAGATGGTCCGCAGGAGAAAGCAAGATTGTTAGAGAGGCCTGCGGTCGAATCTGGTGATAGTAGCGGCTACGAGAGCAACTCAACTGTCAACAGGACCACAAGGTGGAGGAAGCAAGAAAATTAGCTTGTAATCTTAGGACATGTTATATTTAGATGTTTAAGCAGCACTCCAAAGTATGGATCCCGATAAGCTTTACTTATAAGAAAACAAGTTTCATATGGTTTCTCCATGCTGACTTTGCTAGTGTGCCATGTTCTTCTTTGTCTCTCTTTTCATGAACATCTTCTTGGTGTAGATGTGGCTTGGGTTGGATTGTGACTTACAAGGTTTGAGAATCCCTCTTTTCTCATCACAGATCTTCTGAATTTAATTCAGCTACTCCAACTGGACCTGTGTCAACTAGGAAGAAGATTTTCTTTCTTCTGAGTTTGTATATGTAAACATATAAATATACTCCAAATATCACTCCCATCAATAGTGTTCTAATAAACTCGAGTCGATTATGGCTAATCATGCTTATCATTATATTAAGCATTAAAATGCTTTTAATTACTGTTCACCAATTATAGGACCCCTTATGTTTACCACTACTTTCAAAGAAGCAATAACAATCTAACATTATTCTGCTAATTATCATGGATACATGTGAATATTTATGATAAAGTTCACAATTTAACATTATTGTGAGCCAAAAGCAAGCATCACTTCATCAGTTTCACTACAAACATTGTAGTGGTGACAAAGATCAACATGCCATGGACAGAGCTTGCAGAGCACGAGCTTTGCTGCCATGGGAGGATCATGAAGCTACTGCTGCTGGTGGGAGCATGTTGGGGGGTGAAGGACAATGACCAGATGCAATGGAAAAGGACATCAAAATCTGAATGGTAGATGCCATGAATCGTTTGATTGGGTGAAAGCATCCCTATCCAGGTAGATGAGAATGCGATGATCACATGGGGATTTATGAAAAGGGAGTCCCCATGGCGTCGGCTCGCTGCACCTTCAGAGAAGCTGCAGCTGGAGATGGGAGCATCGACCCTCTCACCTGCTTGTGATTTTGGTAAAGATGAGATTCAATCCAATCATAGAATACCAGCTGAGTTAGGCTGATATCTTCCATTTTCCCATCATCTTCCTCCTCTATCCGTATGAGTCTAATTTTATTGGGACTTATGATGGCACAATAATTCTTGTTAATTTCTAATCGACTATACTCCATTGTTAATTTACTGTTCCGAGAAACAGCGAGCAACGGTGTCGGCAAGTGCTTTGCTGAGGACATGAAGTCCACTTGGTGTTACAGTACTGCCCCTTTGATGCTGTGGATGTCTCGATTTAGGAGGACATGCACTTCTATTTACATTGATTTTTGGGGGGTCCAATTGAATGAAAGGATTTCTTCATGGCACGGTTAAAGGCCGGCAGTCTTTGAGATAAGAGACGATACATGATTAGATAATAATCTTATGGACTTTTAAGTTAAGTATTGTTAAAATCAAAATATACTATTTATTTTTAATTTTTTATTTAATATTTAAAATATTAGTCTTTAAAAAAAACTATTCATTGGTTGAAAAATTAAATTTTGAGACTTTGTTCAATAAAATTACATATAAAATACTATTTCACACAGGATGATTATGTACCGGATTTACTTAGCTTAACATGAGTATTTTGAAATTCTTATATGATAAATTTTATATCTAATATATTATTATATAGTAATTTTTTTTTTACTTTCTTATCACAAAGATATGAGTTTCAAATATAATTTGGTAAAATCATACCTAAAATATCCTCTTATGGCATATATGAAATATCATCTTATGGCGTATATCACATAATAATGGACTAATTATAAATTATTTATGTAGATATATCTTTTTATCTTTAAACTTAAAAAAATTATATTAAAATCCTATAGTTAAATTTCTTTAGAAGTTTATAGACTTAAAAAAAAAATATTAAAATATTTATAATTATGAAAGTGAAATATTTAATTTTATTTATCTTAATATCATCAATTTTACCAATAAAAGATATATATCGAGTAAAAGATAGAAATCTATTGTTTTTATGTCATTCGTGATTTCGACAAAATCGACCTTCGCGTCATTCTCACTGATCATCATCATAACAACCATCCACAATATCATAATTCATTATTATCATTAAAATTATCTTTTTATTCATCATTATCATATGTTATATTTTTCTAGTAAAACCGAATAAGTGAAGTTAAATATCTCTTTTTTATAATTATAAAATATTTAATATAATTTTTTTATATAGAAATCGAAACGTTAAGATTTAACTATAGAGATTTCAATATAAAATGTTAAAATAACTATTGATTACCTCACAGTAATACTTAATTGGGCCTCTTTCATTGTGGCTCAGCTAAGTAATGGCCATTTAGGCCTAATCCAGCCCATTGTGACCACTTTAACGAAACCTGGCGTTAGGGTTTTGCTTGTTTGGTCTCTGCGGCTCCTCGGCGCTGGGCTCTTCGTCCTCTCGCTTGCGTAGGCTTCCGTTCTTGCCCCAAGAAGCCATGGTGAGAATCCTAATCTCCCTTCGTTTCTCGTCTCGATTTTCTTTCTTTCTTCACCTGGTTTGTACCTGTTTGTCTCTCCCAGATCATTCCGAAGAAGAATCGCCATGAGATCTGCAAGTACCTCTTCCAAGGTAACGTCTTTGGTGTAGGATTTGCATTCGCAGTTAAAAAAATTCCTTTTTTTTTTTTTATCTATTTGGATTTGTTGTTATTTCGTGGTCTTCTGATGATAGAGGGGGTGCTGTACGCGAAGAAGGACTATAACCTTGCAAAGCACCCGGATATCGATGTGCCGAACCTACAGGTGATCAAGCTGATGCAGAGCTTCAAGTCGAGGGAGTATGTGAGGGAGACATTTGCCTGGCAGCACTACTACTGGTACCTCACCAATGATGGCATCGAGTACCTTAGAACTTTCCTTAACCTACCCTCAGAGATTGTTCCTGCGACACTGAAGAAGTCCGCTAGGCCGCCGCCGACCCGCCCATTTGGCTCTGGTCCTCCTGGTGATCGTCCCAGGTACTATAATTGCTTATTCAATGTAGGTGTTGTGTTTTCTTGTTCTCTGGTACTTGTGTTGATTTTATGATTCTGCAGAGGACCTCCCCGGTTCGAAGGAGATAGACCAAGGTTTGGAGACAGGGATGGGTATCGTGGAGGCCCTCGTGCTGGCCCTCCGGGTGATTTTGGGGACAAGGGTGGAGCACCTCCAGAATTCCAGCCATCTTTTCGAGTAAAAATCGACATGCCCATGATTTCCTTGCATGTTGCGTCAAAATTTTCTTTGCAATCTAGAAGAGAACAATTTGTAATGTTCAGACTCAGCCGAGTGTTTATCCTTAATCAGAACCGACCTAACTGCTCTGAAATGTGAGTATAGGAATTAGGATTGGTGGTACAGAGTATTGCATTTAAAGTGTTAGATAGGAAAACTTAGATGATTTTTTTAGTAAAAGGTGTCAGATAGGACTAGTAGGTCTAGAAGAGGTATCAAAGAATATAAAAAAATGTTACAAATGATTTGACGGCTTTTGGCTTGTTTAGTGTTGTTACCATCGATATCTCTGAGTGACTGGAGAAGTTCCATGCATCCAGTGTTGGGCCCTTCTGGCTTGTTGTTCTTGTAGATAGAGGAGAGATTGAAAGTTCTATAAAATTATCTCCATCAAATCTAAATTAGAAGTTGGGACCTACGGCTTGTTTTTTTGTTGTAGACAGGAGAGGCACAATATTTAATTTTTGATTTTCATCTAGATTGTCTATACTTGATTATTGCTTTGCAGTCATTACTAGAATCAATGTTTTTATTAATTACCTTAGTCTGTAGCTATGCTCTATTCATGGGATTGTTCAGACTTTATCATCAATGAATAATTAATCTAAAAATGAAGTTTTCACTGTTCTTCTGCACTGGATGATTTTATGGGCAGAATAATTGGAGGGAGGAAGAACCTTTTTATAGTCGAAACAAATGTGCCATAGAGTTCAAGGGAAATAACAGAAGTGCTTACCTGACAGTGATAAAATCACTATGAAGTTCTTGAATACTCCTATGTCTATATTTCTGATAGCCAGATTTCATCCTGTTTAGTGTGTTTCAATATTTTCTTCTTGACATTTTCTGTCAATCATGTCTTTTTTCGCTTTATCTTTCATTTTAGCTAGATTGTAATATTTATTTCCATTTATTGTGTTGTTTTGACATCGTCTCATTGGTCAGATATTGCTTAGACATCATTCCATTGGCACTTTGTAAAGCTGATAATTTGTTTCATGCTTACTTCGTGTGCAAATGAAGGAGCCACACTAGGAGAATGTTTTTTTGCTCATGACAATGCCAAATATTTTTCGCTCACGGCATTGTTATCTGGGAGGCTGTGTTGTCTGGGTTGATAAAACCTCATTTTTTATGGTGTATTGTCTAGATCTCTTTTTTAGCTTATATTTGATGAGTATCAGTATTTCACCTAGATAGTTCCATGGTACTAATAGATAGTTAAGTTGCCCTCCCTTTGTTATTTTTCAAACTTCTATAAGAGACAGTCAAGTTGCCTTCCGTTTGTTTAAAGTCTACATCTCCATATGATGAGTTTTAGTATTTATCAACTATCTTTTGCATCATGACAAGCTTGAGCAAAATGAAATACTTACCTGGGGAAGCTGCACATGTACTACTTGTAGGGATCATGAGTTGCTGAATGTTTTTATGATTTAATAAGTTACCTGAATAAGATAGAAGCTTGTTCCGATCATGACGAATGCCTTGATTCTCTATCATGACTTCCTGTTAACAAAATTGTGCAGGGTACCGGTGGCAGACCTGGGTTTGGCCGTGGAGGTGGCGGATATGGATCAGGTGCACCATCTGCATCACTCGAGTAGTTCTGTGGCTCCTCCTTTTGTCTATCCCCACAAAATCAGCATTTGCATCGCCCAGTTCTCTCTCTTATGATTTTTGTTGCTTGAAGTGTAGGACAAGTTACATATTTTAGTTTGCGGTGGACGATGCCTTTTTATATTTTGAGATGCCAAAATTATCTACGGCTAAATTAGCATTTGCACCCCAAAATTTTATGATTTTTTGGGGCTTTATTGTTGGACAAGTCACATTCCAAGTTTGTGGTGGACTAAGCCTCGTGAGATGCCAAAATTATCCAGTGTCATTTGACATGTGTACGTCATTTTCCTCTATGAGTGTATTGGTTTTATATTATCATTTTGCAGCAGATGTAAAGGGAAGAGTTTAAGGAACAGCTACGTTGGTAGCCGAGACATTTGGTCCCGCTGACTTTATCTTATATGTTGTTTCTTTGAAGTACCGAGTATTATCTACGTGATTTTACTGCTTTAGGTTTGTCAAGAGCAACAAAATAAGGTGAAGGCCAACCAAACAAATTATACCTTTTTGGATCTCGTATTATCTACGAATTGATTTTTAGGGCTTTAGGTTTGTCGAGAGCAACAAAATAAGGTGAAGACCAACCTAGCAAATTATACTTTTTTTGGATAAGTATAGTATTTAATACTTGATATTTGGGTGGATGATGATTAATTATATATTATCTCTTATAGTCATTTATTATTTTTATATTTTTAAAAGTTATTTTAGGATTTATATATTTGTGAAATAGAAACATTTAATTATGTTTTTCTCATATCATTAATTTTATTGACGAAAATACTATGTTGTCACGTGTAAAAAATGATACTAAAATAAAATTTAAAAAGTAATTTCGTTGTCTATTTTGAGAAGTTGGGAAGAACAGAAGAGTCAACTGTTAGTGGATGTTGATAGCCGAGTTCAAATTGAAACGAAGTTTTCGAGATTTAATCGAAGTTTTCTCCTGGAAGAATTCTGAAGTCGGAGTAGACAAAGTCGGAGAAGAAAAATGCTTTCATAGAAGTTACATAAGTAGAAATTAACATTGATGAGAATAGTTTATAAAATTTTTCGTACGTGATGTGTGTAAATATTTTATTTTCGTAAATATAGTGATCTCAATCTAATTTTTGAAAATATAAAAATCGAGATACTAAAAATAACTAATTATATAGGGATAATCTCTAATTAACATTAATACTAAATTAATTTTTGAGAGGGGAGGGGCCACAACAATAGCTTACTAATTGGTCCTTTCGTGTGTCGTTCATGCATTAGTTCACGATCGAATCTTAAATTGAAACAGTGACGAAGAATCCAAACCACTATCTAAACAGTATTACAATGTGGGATGAAATATGGAGCCGTAGTCGAGTCAATAGACCAATCGGTTGCATATTTATATAAATATATTTTAAATATATAAAATTATTGAAAATGCCTATAAATCTAATATATCATTAGAATCCAGAGGAAGAAAACATGTCCCTTCTTGATAGCTGATGTGATCTAACAACATTAAGCTTGAACTGGTCCTGTTCGAGTCAGGCCCACGCGATCACATCTCAATGAGGGCCCTTAGACACTAGAATAGTTTTGCAACTTAATACATATGCCTCAACTTTAAGAAATATCCTCCGACTGCTAGATGAGGTGGTCACATTTACAAATCATTGTTTTGAATACCTCAACTTAATATGTAGTTTTTTTTTGTCTGCTTCATGGTATCTTTGTCTTGTAATAATCTTTATAACATCATTGTTTTATTACTATTTGATCTGTATGAGATTTAGATTTGATGATCCATCAATTTGATATCATTTCTCACACGAAAGTTTTGACGAAGGAGAAAAATATTACTAAGAACAAGCATCAAACTAAAAGGAAAATAACCTCTATTGCTTATAATTAAAGTGTCAAATTATAAGGGATAAATAATAAAATAATTTGGTGAGTTCTAATGACTTTAGGACTTACTAGGATCCTTTAGGACTAGGGTCGATTTCTCTTCTAGTTGTCCTAGTTGATCATATAATGTCCTAATTTGAGTCTTACTAAGATTGGGATTTGGGTTGATATGCTACTGAGTATGAACTAGCTTGATCTAGTCGAATTAGGCATTGAAGCTATGACTCGAGTTTGACTAAGTTGGGTGATCCTTTGGAACTTATTTAAGACTTCGATTAAGTGTCATTCTAATCATTCCTTATCACTCAACATATTTTTTCTTGATAGGTGTGATGTCAACCAAAATCGATCTAAAACTAACACAAAAAAAAAAAAACTATTGCTTTTGAATTGGCATTTAGTTCCTAAACTGATATGATGTATGTGTCAATGCTTTATCATATTCAACCTAACTACACTCCATGTATTGAGTGGGAATATCTAATCCTCTCCATTGGTTGTCATGCATGGATGTATATGAATGGCTGGCTGTTCTTGGTCTGCACTTTAATCAGTGAGTTACAGCAGTGAAGACCTGAGGGGAGCTCATGTGTTGCCAATAAACTAAAAAGTTACTAATACCTACGACTTCCAAAAGCGTACACTCTCATCAGACAGTACTATCTCCCATTGCCACCGATTTGATGCTGATATCAGTGCCCAGTTTATAGAGAGAGTTGATTCCCATGAGGGAATGTTGAGGATACAGATTCTGAAAGCAGTAATGTCCTCTGCCAATCGACTTATGCAATTCTTAAAAGATTTGAACTACTTATAATAACTTAATTTAACTTTCTATATCTTGGATCATTACTTTAAACTCAACGAGCTAATGAATCAGTTATCTCGGAGGGATCCGAATAAAAAATGCTTGTTCATGTAAATGAGATTTATGTTATAAGCTTCACATGTTTCCTATTAGAATTTATGTCTATACTATGCTGATTATTAATAAGAATGTGAATTATAATGATCACAAATTTAGTCTTATGTATGAAATAAAGATAAATCGATATATTATATGATAGGGTATATTTTGGTATCGCCCATATAGACCCAGAGAAACAGATATGACGATGCAGACGTGAAACTTTAAGTACGATATGGCGCGTAGCACACACGTGATGGGCAGCCGCTTGTTGCCCCCTCCGTATGAACGACATCATGATGGTATAGTCATCCCGGAAAGCTCACGGTGGAGCCGATCTGTGTAGGTCGATCGACACTCGCACATAAGCTTAAGTCGATCGCCCGAGGAGTCGACTGCAGTTAATTGATCCCGTACGACCAACTCATCCTCGTAGGTATAAAAGCTAACCCTCCTTAATCAGGAAGGGGAGGCACTTCAAACACTTAACTCTCTCTTATTCCACCAAAAGTTAACTTAACTTCGAAGGGATCGAGTCGAGAAATCTCCCTCCCGATCTCGACCTGTGTGTAGGAGCTTAGCGACGGAGAAGCATGCCACTCACCAAGAGAGAAGATCACACTCATGGAATGAGGCTCGAACCCAACCCAACTCGATCCTCGCCCTCACCACCCGAGCATCCATATGGGTAATCTTGTACATCAGAGATTAAATCGAGCCGTGCTGATACCTCGGCCATGACGTAAAGGTTCATTAACATTATACTTGACCAAGTTTAATCTAATCAAGTTAGTTTGGGGTACCTCACACGGATTTCCAATCAAACTATTTCACAGTAATTGAAATGCAAGTGGATCAAGTGTGTTTGAGATGAACCAACCGGAACAAGGATGATGTATGAACCTTGGTTCGCAAGCATTCCCTTTGGTTTAGTCTACGGATACCAAGGTGGGGTGGTGATACAAGATGAACCATGTCTGCAGCGGAAGGTGGAAGACAGCACGCAGCCACGTTCCGGTGATGATTGGAGCTCGTCGCCAGGAAGTGGCCTCCACAGCCGCCATGTGCCGAAGGCCCCCAAGAGAGGTTTGCACTGCTCCCAACTACATTTCCCCCTTCGCTGCAGCCACGGAAGCTGCGCCATCGCAGTCTGTCTCAGTCCCACTCAGCACCGCCATGGGACTCACACTGAGCTGCCAGTTGTCGCCTACATGTCTCCCCGAGCGACGTACGTATGCTTGGTTAGGACTTCTATTTCTTGGATGAACATTCTTAGACGCCATGGATTCAGCTTCAGTTTACGAGTTAAATGCAGTGTGTCGGACTGCTGTCTCGAGTTTGTCTGCTAATTGTTAATGAGGAGGTACTCTTTCATTAGTATTCGATCATGTTAATGAGGAGAAGATGTTGATCCAGTGGTCCTCCTTTCTTCTTTATGTTGGGAACCATATCGAAAAAGAGTAGTGATAAAAGGCCAAACATCAATAGAAAAATTAGAATAATCCAAAACATATAAAACTTTACTAAGAAAACTTAATTACAACCCCTCAATTAATACTTTACAGTCCACTACTGCTCCTCTTAATTTGATTTGGTGTCTCATAGGAGAGATCACATAACTGTATGACACTTAAAACATATTAGGACTCATCATAATTTATCTAAAATAAGTATTATAAATCAATTAAACTCTTATCTTGACATCTTCTAAATAAATAGAACTTATATTAGCATCATCTTAACACTATCCCATAATACTAATATATTTAATTATAAGGTTATCCTTTCAAAATAAAAAAAATTCTCTATCATAAAAGTATTTGTAGGTTAATATCTTATGTTGCAATGTAAGAATTTGTCATGCTTTTGAACATCTTTCATAGACCGAGTTCTTTGGATTTATAGGCTTATCAGAAAACTTTCTGAATCTGCTGAATATTGATTGGATCTATCAATACATCTTTTCTGAAAATATGAATTCATCATCTTTGATTTTTTTGAATCAATTTTGTGTCTTACTTTTATTTTAAATTTATAAGTTCTTCAACTTCAATAAACTTGTATAGTTTTGAGTGAAGCCTAAGACATCAAAGAACTGCTACTCCCAATGCTTATAGAACTTTCCTCACAAACATTAAGATTTGATACTGAAGTTGTAGAGCACATCTTATCCATATTCAAATTTGAGTCAACACCAATATTAATTGTAAGAGGATTCCAACACTAATTAATAATTACAATACATGACATTATTATCATCCAGTACAATAATATGACCATCTTCATCAATATAAGTATGACTAACATAAACTTTTGAATTGAACTTGAAAATATCAAATATCTTATTTCTCAATCTAGTCATGTCATAATCTATATCTCTATAAGCATTCAACCGTTTAAAGTTCATCATCAAACTTCACTTTGATCACAAAATCCCATTTGTTTGATGCAAAATTAATAGATTGACATGCAAAAAATAAAATTTTAGATTTATTATCTCCCTCTACAAAATTAGCTTGTTGATGCTGTCTTTTTAAATAACAAAATATTTTAATATGATCATACTTTTTTAATAATAATATTTTATAATAACCTTGATTATTATCCTTTTTTTTGTTTCCGATCATAAGAAGGTTTATTGTTTGATCTATCTCTTGCACTATTAATTTTCTTTTCTTCCTCAGTACAGTGATTGTCAATAACTAAGTAGTTCTGTAACATGTAACTTAGATAAATCTTTTGACTATAATCATATCTAATTTGATATATTTTTAATAATTTTTATGAGAAATTAATTCATCATATGTTTTCATCTGATTTATTATCTCATAACTCTTGAAAAATAAGTTTACATTATTCCACTTCCATCCATAAATAAATTCTTAAAATTTCTTCAAATAATTTAAAGTTTAATTACCAATAACTTAAAGTTCCCCTAATACTCTTGCTCCAACATCTCTCAAGCTTTCTTAAAATTTATTATAGTAAAGAATTTGAGGAAATATAAGCTCATCAACTACCTGTTGAAGAGAATAAAGAGCATGTAGATACTTTATTTGATCTTCATCTGTGATCTTGATTACATCATAACCTACTTCAATAATCTTCTATAAATCTTGCTATCTAAATCAAGTTTTTATCTTTGTACTCCATATCAAACAAAAAGAGTATAGATAAAAAGTTAAGCACCAATAGAAAAATCAGAATAAATTAAAAATATACAAAACTTCACTAAAAAACACTTGATCATAACCCCTCAATCATTACTTTCCACCACATCTGTTGTTCCTCTTAATCTGATTTGTGCCTCATAGGGAGAGACTACACCCATGTTTATAGTCTAGATTCATGATAATTACACATATTAGGACTCATCATAAATTTATATAAAATAGATATCCTAAATCAATTAAACTCTTATCTACATATCTCCTAAGCAAATAAAACTTATATTAGCATTATCTTTAACACTTGATAGAGGTTGTGTGCCTACAAAGCCTTGCTGTCTTCCCTTGTCGTGTATGGTTTCATTTCCTCCACAAGCACCAACTTTTCTACTTCTTAGCCGCTACCTGCAGCTGCTCCTCCTACCTTGATGGCCATGAATGATCATGGAGAAGAGAAGGCATACTGCGATTTCCACCCCATGGAGTCGGTGGTAGGGATATGTGCTCTTTGTTTGAAGGAGAGGCTTCTTGTGTTGGCCTCGGAGCAACGCCACCATCCCCTCCCCAGGAAGACAAACAGGTCCTTAAGAGTCCTGAGGAGGAAACGCATCATAAGGCTTCCTAAAGTCTTTGCTCTCGGCCCATTCCTTAATCTCCTCGAGCTGCGATATCAGGGAACTAAGGATGACTCTGATGATGAAGGATCCATTGCCAGCCACGAAGGTACTCCTCTCTACTGTTGTCCGGTTCATGTGAAACTCATCAGTCGGTGATGATCGATCTTGCAAGAACTTATGATCACCCAAATTGATCATGGTTTCATGCCTTGTTAGATTCGTTCATAACAGTGAAGTTTGATGATGATGGGCATGCTTCATGGGACAGCGAGGGCGCCGACAACACAGAGGAGATCGATGAGAGCAGAGGAATGGAGGAACAGATCGAGCACGACAACGCTCTCAAGTGGAAGAAGCGGATCGGGCAACTCCTTCGCGTGGCGCGGTGGAGAACGCCGGACGCTGATTTGCAGGGAGGAGCGAAGGGGAGGAGGGTTTGGATGAGGAGCCTGACGAGGAGGAGGTCCACCAACGCCCACTGATTCAGCGTGTGAAGAGTGGGAGCAGAGACTCTCTGTTTCCCTCTCGGCTTGTTGTGTTCTCCAGCTCGAGAGAGCGTGTCAGTGTGTGTGTGTGTGTGTGTGTGGATGTGAGTAATTGTGTTGGCTGTGTTTTCTTGAACGACCGCAATGCGTTCGACCAAACGAGAGTGCGTGAGGCCATGGCCACATAACGGTGAGCAAGGAGACGCCGTCCTCCTCTGTTTCTGCTCGTCCCACTCCAGCACTTCATGCATGCATGTGTCCGGTCTCTGACACAGTGAGTCCAGGTACTACGTGGCCCGACTGCACAAAGTCTCTGCACCATCTTTTGGAAGATAAAGCTTGGACATCATGCAAGCAATCATAGATCTCATATATGTATATATATATATATATATACTCAATTTAATTATTTATTTTTTAAATAACTGTGATGATGAAATATTCATGTCGTGGATCATAAATAGTTTAAATACTATGATTTTTTTTATTATTTTTGTTGTTGTTTCACTTCAATCCTAAGCAAGTTTTTATAGCAGAGTTCACTGTTGATGATGTGATCAAAACTAATTTGTTTCAAAATACATAGTTTATTAGGTTCTCCACTGTTGCTGTCAAGAGTTATGGTATTGTTTCTTCAGTGTTACGATAAGGTTATTTGATTGCTTTAAAACTGACGATTGAGCTACTACAATAATATTTGGTAACTAATAATAAGCCTATAGATTTAAGCATGCTAATAAAAATTAAAGATGTATTATATCTCTATTATTTCAAGTTGATTTGCTTCAGAGCAAATATATACTTCTTGGAAAAGGCAAGCTTGGGTACGTTGGTCCTGGCGACATGAGATAAGAAGAAAAGAGATTGGCAAGGCGTTTGGATTTCCGGGATTCTAATAGATGATCTTTAAATGCTATGGGATGACACATTAATTAGCAATAGACAGATGAGCCAACCAAGATCACTCAATTGTCGTTGAGCTGTCAAGGACATTAATTTCTGGTCACATAAATTTCATGGCTGATGAATTCAGATATTTAGAGGAGGGATGTTCTCAAGCTCATATACCTCAATGGCTCGATTGGATGAATCCCAGTGGCCACCCATGCATCGATTTTGATGCATCCACTCAAACATGCAAGTCTTTATAATGATAACGATTCATAAGGTAAATGGACATATGAAATCTAATCAATAAAAAAATGATGACATCCTAATTAAATATGATATTTAAAAGCACATTCTCTTATCAAGACACTTAAAACTTTCGCCAACCACATGGTTATAAGACAAATGCTAGAAAATAGTACTTCACCAAGTTTGATGATCGAGAGAAATATAGGCATGGTAGAAAATAACACAGGAGATCTAATTTATAAGGTAATAATGCATGTAGAACCTTTGATATTTGGAAGGGAAATTATCCTATTCTTCTCATATGTGTGATCATGATCCCAGATAGTTTAGGAAAGTTCGGTAGGAGCTAAATGTTAGCTTCATGTTGTCATGAAATCACCAAGTACTACTAGATCCTTGTTAGAGGAGAAAAAAGAATGCAACATGTATAGTTGGATCTCTTAACAACATAAAGTCATTGTTGCAAAATGAAAATAGCAAAAGCTTATCTAACCTGGGTGATAGCCAGAAGCATGACATGGCCAATCAAAATGGTTGGCAATGGCGAAACCCATGAACTTTGACAGTTCTTGCACAAAGAGGAAGGCTGGATCCATAACTAATAGTGAATATTGAATCCATGTGTGTTAAACTTGAACCCACTGCCATTCTTGATAAAGGTCACAACTTTGCAGTCATATTAAAAGAATTTGTCAAACAGCCAGAAATAATAAAGAACAGCTTTCGCCAATGCTGGTGGCTGACATTAACAAAGCAATTAAGATTTTCATGCCTTCTGTCAAGTAATTATCAAAATTTAGCTAAGACTAAGATTAAATGAAAGCATAACGGAAGAACAGATACAATTTTATTAGACACAGATTTATTGAATAATCATACAAATTCATGTGGTTCACAGTTGTTCCTGAAGGAGGATGACCCAGTTATTTCCAGCAAAATCCCTAGGTCATCTTAGTAGAACATAACACATTATTAAAAATAAGGACTTGACATCAAAACGTGTCAGACAAATAACAGTATGGTCACAAAAATTTAAAACTAACTTGAAGGATCACATGGAACATGGCACCAACCGTATCTTAGTCTGCCCGAGATTGACCAGCTCGAGAAGACAGAATTATGCCAACGATGAGACCATACAGTGCAAGAGCTTCCGCGAAAATGAGAATAAGAATCATGCCCACAAAAAGCTTTGGCTGCTGAGCGTTTGCCCTGCGGTAGACATATGCTCATAATGTCATATGGCACAAGATAAATCTAGTTTTACATAATATATAACCAAATTGATGTGCAACATTTGGAATGATTAGTTTCAAACTTGACGTTGTCTCTATGCAGCCATAATTTGCCAGTGCCACTGGTACTGGACACAGGAGTTTCCCAACCTTTGTGACTATGAGCAAACAAGTGTGAGCATGTGTTTTTCTCACCTCTTCTCATCCTATCCCCACTCCTCATATCTACCACTTTTACTGCTCATCCTGGATTTGACACAGCTTGGACATGAAGATTCCCAAAAATATAAAATTAACTCATGCTAGATCAGGTCTTACTTCTTATCTCCCATGATAGTTTGCATTTATTTGTTGATTTCTTGGTTAAGAAATAAGATATAAAGTGAACGGTTAAAATACATTCTAAACCCATTAATAATTGCACATTATTTCCTATACTTGTCATGATATTTAACTATCAAAAACAGACATTCAAAACTGGAGCAGCTAACTGAAAATTAATTACAACATCAATTCGTTAAAAGATGGACCCAAATTTAACATTTATTTGTGTCATCTTATTTCTAAGCAAACAATAAAATAACGTTTGGCCTGATATGCATCAGCTGGTTTTTTACGAAAGGTCAATACCAAACCATATAGGCTGGTACCGATTGTTTCTATTTAATTTTTTCCAATGAAACCAGATGGTAAAAGTTGATAACCACTTAATATACCGACACTGCACTGATGCCACCAGTTGAAGCGAGATAAAAGTAAACAAAAAAAATAAATTTCTGGTCATTCTAAAAAAAATAATACCTGTAACGCTTTTTGATGTAAAATATTACCAAGTCAAAATCTTGTGGATGCCCAAGCCTACTTACAGTTCATTTTGTCATGTTTGAGCTGATTTCACATGAAGATGGTAGATATTGCTTGGCAGCATGTGTATAGAGGGATTCAAGTCTTAGAACTGTTAAATTGTGAATAGCAGGGTATGTATAAATTGAACAATAACTTAGGCAGTGGTTTTCAGAAGGTCCACAGCTCTGTATGTTGCATGATGACACAAAAGGAGAAACCAAAATAAACAGGAAATATCGGAGCATCACAGACAAGTATCTGCATGGTAAACAATAGTAGATATCCAAACTTTTGACTTAGAGGGTGCCAAAAAGTTGAGCAAAGATACATGCACCACCTACACACAAATTTCAGAACAATTTGAATGGTATACGTGTCATGACCCAGGCTTGATAAGCTAACTGGCCTATTAACTTCGTTTGGCCTAAACCACTAATCAAAATACTTAGACGGAAGTTGATAACAGTACACTCATCATATCCTTATAAGTCAATCTTAATCTTGTCCATCTTCAACGTAGGATTAATTAGGGGTGTTACAATCTCCCCCACTCAAGGTATTGACGAGGATAGTTCAAATCAAACCCTAGCATGGTGCATATAAAGCGTAGCCCAATGGAAGCTTCACGCCGTGATAAGTCCTCTAACTCCAACCACAAGTAGCTTTTTTCTACTCAAGCCCTCTCACCATGCCCAAATACTAGGTTGGCTCTGATACCAAATGTCACGACCGGAGTCTGTTGGGTTAACTAGCCTGTTAATTTCGTTTGATTTAAACCATTGGCTAAAATAATTAAGTTGAAGCTGATAATAGTACACTCATCAGACTCTTATAAGTCAATCTCAATTTTGCCAACTTCTGATGTGAGACTAATTAAGGTGTTACAAACAAGTTTTATTCTTTATTGATATGAATTAATATGTTAGTCTTGTATTGCATCTATATATGATCACCATGTAGTAAAAACGAATCATTTATTGTTAAGCATTTTTTTAATATAAAAGTTACCCCTTATTACTCTGTTCTTTTTTCATTGATATCATATTCTTACATGATATGGACCTTTTATTTGGTAAACAATACTTAATGATTCAACATATTATTATATGTTTTCCTTTGAACACTCCTTATTCTCTATTGAGCATTTGTGCTGAAAGAAAGAACAAGGTACAATTATTGTTGGTTGCTAATGTGATATTTGGAGATTGAAGGCTATGATATATTTGGAAATTGGTCCTTGTAGTATATACACGAAATGTTTCAAGAAATGTATAAAAAACATAGAAAGAACTATGGTTCACATATGATATGATATTCTTGAGATCTGAACTAGGTCAGATCAAGGCGCAACAGATGGTCTAATAAATAAGAGACAAGGAGGACTGGGATCTGGTGCAGCATATGCAATGACAACCTCAAGTGGGTCATGAGATGTCTATGAGCCAAGTTGACCATCATGGTTAAAATTTCATGAAAATATTATGTAGCTCTTTTAGAAGAGCAGAAAAGAGTAAAAGAAGGAGAGGATAGATTTATTTGCAGTTAAAATTAATAGTCCAACTAATGATGACAGTGTAACATCTTCATCTAATTTGGAAGACATTTAATGGAACAGCAAAACAAATCAATGCGAAGCCAAGCTAGCAGGATAAAGGAGCACTTTGATCCCTAAAAGCAAACCCCCAAACAATTCAGTTCCCAAATAGGAAATAAGTACCATCTAATTGATATCAGTCTATACAACCAATCCAAATATAAGAAGACCAAACCAAATCAGCAAAGCGTTACCTGACTCCAGCATCCCCAACGATCCCAATGGCCATCCCGGCAGAAAGGCCAGCGAGGCCACAAGCAAGCCCCGAGGAGAGGTGTGCATACCCATCGAAGAGGTAATACGACTTGGCCTTGGGATTAATGCCTGTGCTAATAATCACTGCGATGATCAAGCCGTAGATCCCGAGCACTCCCGCCATAACAACGGGCACGATGGACTTCATCACAAGCTCCGGCCGCATCACTCCCATCGACGCCACCCCGACTCCACTCTTCGCCGTCCCGTACGCCGCCCCCATGCCTCCATGCAACAAAACCCCCGAATCAGAGTCAATCCTTTCGGATCAAAGAACGGCAACAAAACCACATAAGCCCTAGAAAAGCATGGATCTTGAGAGATTACACGAGAATACGAGCGCAGCGGCGGCTCCGAGGAACCCGAAGAAGGGGGCAGTCTCATCGCCGCTGAATGTCGACATCGTCGCGCCGATTTGATTGTCCTAGACCTTCGGAAAGAAGATGATCGAGTGAGAGGATGCGGGAGTCGGCCACAAATTGTTCCCTTTTCGGGATCGGAAGAACTTTGGTAGATTCTTATCATATAATAATAGCCTTTGCTTTAGTATAATTTACATGATTTACCATCTGAAGGGAAGAGGGTTTGCTGACACGATTGGAATATTTTCGGAAAGAAAACTTTTGCCGGTTCCTCTTCTAGATGTGCAGACACGTCCGTGGGGGATTACGTTCGATCGTGGCAGGCGGTCTTGAGATCGATCGATTTATCTTCTAATATCATTTTATTTTCTCGTGGCCCACTCATGTTATTTTTCTTTCCAAAATAAAAGGAATTATTTATCCTAAAAAAGACTCGTAGATCGAAGGGCAAAACATTGGTTAATTGCATAGATAAATTGTCAAAGAATCAAATTTGCTTGCATCGTTATGAGATTCAGCTACACCAGTATGGCTGCATCAGATTCGATGAGTTCCCCGTTGCTGCAAGGGATTGAACAGATAAGCTTTATATTAATCATGTTAATGAGATGTTTGGCTTCGGCTAGACCGACTGGAGTGAATAAAGTGGACATGAACTGTGTTCAATCTCGTCCTAAACATTAGAGTATAAACTCGTCAAATCCTCAGAACTAAAGAGTTTGATCTCCAGGAACAGTCTTGAGACCGACATATTAACTAAGAGCTTTCAGTCGCTGGAAACTCTCAATTCAGTAGTTTTCACTGGCATTTCTTCTCTCCGCTTGAAAACAAAGGAGCAAGACAAGAAACTGGACCAGCCACAGTATCAATTCCATGCTCCTGTACCTCCTCTTTGTATGCAAATTCACAGGGCCTTTTCTTGCTCCCTAGCCACTGAAGTTGAAAGGACGGAAAGGCTGCGGTTTAAAAATGTCAGCGCAGATTCGCAGTCCAAAATTATTTTCATGATAGATGAAGGCTCCTCGGTTGTTGGTAGAGATCCAAGGGACATGGCTGCATATGAATCCCGAACACTTCTCAAGTTTCCCAAAAACTGCATTGCGACGTGTGAAAGCCAACCGGTAAGGGAACATATTTGAGATGTAAAATGAAAGACAATTTAAAGATATTTTAGAATCAGAATTATTTTCTGAAAATTGGAAAGAGTGAACATATTCATCAAAGGATGCAACCAGACAAACATAAAATTAAAATTCTTTATTAAGTGCTGGGCTAAGTGCAAGTATGCAACCATTATCCGTACAATGCCAAGAAAGAACGGAAAGAAAAAGAAGAGAACAGACACTTATCAAAGTTGATTCACCGGTGATAATTCTCTGAATTGGAATAAAGTACATTAAAACAAGTATCCAGGTCATCACATTAATACATTTAGTGTCATCATATTTATCATATTAATAAACACTACTTTTTTCTATTTTCTTTCACTTAAAACTCCCCTAATACACCTTTTGCTTGTATTACACACCTCATATAATCTTGGTGCTGTATTTGTAACACTAGGCAAAATGTGTGCATGCATTCAGTGGGGATAAAAAGGGACTTAACTGGGAATAGTTCAAAAAAAGATAGCCTTTTGCATGAAATCAACCAAATAAGAAGGTTAAACTATCAAAATTTGGATTTTGGTAGGCAGAAAAAAATTTAATATACCTTCAGAAGTGTGTTATAGGCCTCCAAAAGGCGGTTAGCAGCAGGGCCAAACCCATGTAACTGTGGCACTTCCATCATGTGTGTCCAAGGATGGATCTCCTGTAATATTCAGATCTAATAAGTAAACAAATTATGAAGATATTGATATTCTGGCATTTATATTGATAACATTTTATAGCAGATAACAGTTATATGATGAAGTGCTTTGATAGACATACAATAAACAAGTCAAAGAAATCAAAGACAAATGGGTCTCAATGTCACACAAGCTTTCCATGGTGAGTTAAAATTTTAAGATAAAAAGTTGTTTCCAATATGCACGACATTGCCTTCTTTTGTTTTTACCCTTGAGTTAGCTGTTCTTGTAACCAATAAGACAAGTTTAACCAAAAAAAGAAAGTAATGAAAAATCTTCAAGAGAAAAATGTCAGAGAAGAGCTTGCTATTACCTTCGTATAAATCAAAGTGAAGGACTTAACGGTTTCGAGAAAAGACTCCAAATGTGACCTCAGCTTCAGTTCTACCTCTGTATAGTCTTCATTAGGATTGTAATCATACTGTGTAACATCAATAAGAACCAATTTTAGTAAACAGGAACAAGCTGAAGAGACTAATTAAACAAACAAGTTTAGGTTTCACCAAGAAAAGTACAAGTACAAACAGCAATGTATTATTTTGTCAAAAAAATTTACTTAAAGAAATCTGATGTTTCATCCAAAAACACATCCTTAGGCATCAATTGCAAATTTATCTGGAATATGCTTATGTACCAGAGTTCAAAATAAGTGTAGCAATTTCAAATATTGAATATCAGAGTTTACATTGTTGTTTCACGTTGTTTCTAGCAGAAGAAAATTTGAAAGTTCCCCATCTTCCCCAACCAGTAAAAAAGAAAATAAACACATAAAACGAAGATAACACATATAAGAAAAGGAGAAAGAAACATTGCACATTTCTCTATAATATGTATTCTGTTAAAAATAAGTAAAATTGTAATGGTATATGCTTTTAGCATACCTTAGATGCTAAATCCTGGACCATCTGTTGCAAATTTGATAGTTTCTTTGAATGTTCAGAGAGTTTTAGCTCCAGTTCAGATATGTCTGGTCTGCAAAATGAGTAATAAGTGTGTTCTCTATGAGAATTATTAAGGGTAGCGAAAATTTTCATCACACAGGAGACACTTTCCTTTTCACATGTATAAGCCGAAGCAGGAAAAAAATAAAAATAGAAAAAGTTATCACCTCAAGTAACTATTTAATTTATAAACACAGACAGATAAAGAAAGAAGAAATGTGTGATATTGGTAACATATACACGAATACCAAAAAATAATCTCTTTCCAGATAAGATAATTGAACTACAAACTTCCATCTGCAGTTTGTTCAGCATGCACTGGGTCAGCAACCCCAAATTTCAAAGCCACATGTTGACCAAATTAACCAAGAAATTTTCATTTCTAGGAGCTCGATAAAAAACAATGTTTGTGACAATGTATGTCTCCAAGCAGCAAACCATTGATACAAATCATACAATAAATCATTGAGATAAAAAACCAATACATACCTGAGTAAGACAGGACATAGAAACAGTGGAAATGAAGTAGATAAATGAGTCTCGATATCAAGAAACAGCACTAAAGTGAAGTAATGAAACATATACTTGTAAGTTAAAAAGTATTCAACAATTTTTGGATGATAAAAAACAAGGTGACATCTACTGCAAGTTGCTAATAACTAATTTTGATATGCAAATCTGCCAACTGAATTGACAAAGCTTGTTTTTCTGAGGCAAACTGAATTTGCAAAGTTTATCATAAGCACAGATGTATAAATCAATATTACAAATGTGATCGTCATCTATAATTCAGATACTTATAGCAAGTTTGTCTAACAATCAGATTTCACATGGTTTCAGGCTTCAGTACAGAAGAACCATCAATGCTTAACAATGAATAAACAATATAAATAACCATATGCCCAAAAGAAATGAAATTATTCAGGATATACTCACAGAACATCATACTAATTTTTTCTTGGCTTTCTTATTAATATGCTAATGGCAGTATATCAACTCCAGTATTGTGGATTTCAATGGATCAAAATCTTGTATAATACTTACAAGGGATAAACAGACTGAATCTGCACATCAGCTGGAAAAAGTTTCAACTCTTCTGAAAATATTTGAGCTTGTTTCTCTGCAATTGAATCTACCAACTGCACATCCTTTGCCAGTTGCTCATCAACACTGCCAAAAAGAAAAAGTGCATCCAAAATTAGGGAGTGGAATATATTGGCATATCAAGTTCTAATAGCATGCTAAGGTTCCTATTAAGTGAAAAGCTAAAATATAATAGGTGTGCGGACACAAGGATAAATCTATTTGAAAATCAAAATACTATCCGAACCTCCACTCTGGATTATCAGCATATTGGCTTGCTTCAACAAGATGTACGATTAGATGAAGCATTTCAACACGATCCTCATAGCTGCCTTTCCCCTGAAACCAGCAAAAATTAATAACTCAAGAATGTCTTAAATCAGAATTAAAACAAAAACCTCAAATAGCAATTCAGATTAACATCGTATGAACATGACAATAATTTATTTGCAACAAGTAAATAAGCTGTCATGTGACAACTATGCAAGGCATCCATTAACTTGGTATCACAAGAGATGCAGTATGATTCTAACATGGCTATGTGTCATACATCAACTGTCCCAGTACAAGTTCCATTCTGTTGTGCCTTTTGCATTAAAGAAAGTTGTCAGGCTTCAATCACACGTATTTTCATTCATATCTACTTAAAAGCATCAAGATTCTTGGTGCCAGCAGGAGCCTGACTGAAATATTACATGGTAACTTCTATATACGTGATTGGCTAGCGTTGTGGGAGCACAAAAAAAGAGCAACCTATTTGTACCACTCAATTCTCAAGCAGCTAACATTATACAAAAAGATTTTAATTTATAAATTCACTCACTTGGATGGCTTCAGTGTCAACTGAGGATGTAATGCCCAAGAAGCTTGCTATCTCAGCCAAGTCTGGAAATAGTAAATTCCGATTCACATGAGTCTTTAACAGAGTCAATTGCATGGTCATGCATGTGCAAAGACTAGCAACCACATTAATTGCAAGCAAAGAAAAAGCAGTGTGCTCCTTGAGACAGTTCTATAATAAAAAAATTATATACTCTTGTTAGCAAAATCTCTGGCAACAAAGCACAACAATGATACCTATTATGAGCTGTCAGCTGTAAAGCAGCCCAAAGAGTATGAAGCAAACAGAGAAGAATGCTGTTAAATGTTCCATATATTGTAATGTAATATAAATGTCTCCTTACAAGGTTGTAATTCACTTAACATTTTTCCTGTGACTATCTTTGTCATCAACTACCTCAATGTGCTGAAGCCATCAGAAGATCTTTACATGATTTCTTTTCTATTTAAAGAAATGTTGCATGGACAAAGACACCAAAAAAGGACAGTCTCCAATTTAGGTGAGGTGAACTGATGAAGATACAAAAAGTGCCTATAATAATAATAATTAAAGAAAAAAAATGATACCTTGCATAGATGTGAAGATGTAAACTATTGAACTCTACACTCATAAGAGAGAATTATAGAAGAATCCACTTCTTATACTGTTATGTCAGTTGATATTGGAACAGTAGTTAAAGGTCCGAGAAGTGTCCAATGCATCTTGTGGGTTTGGATGTAACAATGTGCTTAGCACTGTTTCCAAGTGATGTTTTCTCAGATTTATAAGTCTACTGATTGTTATTACTTGGACAAACATGCTTTTCACCATGGTAATGTCCTTTTAATCTACTACTCAAATCAATCTTCTTTTCTTTCATCTACAATCCCAGTTAATTCTGTTTGGCAGCTAAAGTGTTGGTCACCAAATTTTGGAATATCAAATTCTTTTACCTATTATGATTATCTCTGGCAAATAGTGATAGCTATAATCCTCTCACCCCTCACATTCTTTGATATAGTATCTAAGTAAGGTTTTAAATCCCTTTCTTCCTTTTTCAATTCGTTACTGGATTAGAACCATTATACTAAACCTTGAAAGATATGTCTACTCAAGAATGATGACGTAGTTGGCAGACCAGACATTTAATATGTCAAACTTCTTAAAAATAGTATTCAGACACTTACGAGATTACTTCACATTATAATGTTATGTACACTCAATCAAATTGTAAGATAAAGGAACCAGAAGAGATGAATAACAAGAGAGAGTAGAAGTGGTAGCTAGAAAATGGTATTTGGGTGTTAAATAGAACTTTTCATTTTTTTGCTTTGCAACATGAGACAGTCTTCTCTATTAACAGCACCATTATATAACTTGCAGTGTAATGCTTCACAATCATCAGATAAGGTGCCAAGGAAAAATGCATAAAGACAGAATATTGGAACCTAGTTATTTTGTGAAAATTTGCTTTCACAACTGGAACAAATTTGAAGTCATGCTTCCATGGTGATAGATGGCTATGTTACGAATGACCAGCATTCTACAAAATAAAGGGAGGAACTTGAATTTATGAAGAAGAATAATTCATCAACATAATAAAATAGTAATACTCACGTTGAATTCGAGTATTCTCCTCATCCCTGTCCATGCTATTTCCTTGCCAGTTCTGTTGAGTAAACGGCGACCTGTCACCCAAAAGCCTACCAAGAAACAGGCTCTCATTTGATGGTACCAATGTAGGTAGATTTCAAAAAGGCAAAAAAAAAAATCAATTCGAAGAAAAAAGAGTGATATTTTGGGAAAAAAGTGTTTCAATCGCAAGACAGTAGTGTGTTTAAACAAGAAGAGCAATTTAGGCCTAATAAATATTTTTCATTTGAGAACCTCGAACAGATGTCCAAACGACGAGGAAGGAAATCAAGAATGAATTACAGAATTATGTCAAGGTTCATCAAATTTGAAATTTAATTCCCCAAACCTCTAAAAAAATAAGTCAGAATACGGACCGATGCCGCGATTCGCATCCAATTATAAAAGCTAAAGAAGTCCGGAACTTGGAAACGGAGCGGCAGAATCGAAGAGAAAGGCGAGCGGAAAAGGTTCGACGGGCACCTGAAGAAGAGCCATTCCAGGAGGGCGTATCGCTCGACACCGGCGAAGAGGAGGGATTGGGCGGGGGCGTTGGGTCGCGGGCAACTAATCAGCTCCAGTTTCCTCTGGATCTCCTCCATCTGCCTCGACGCCATCTCGCTATCGACAACACCAAGGAGAGCCTCTCGCCAAGCTGCGGTCTCAAGACCGGAGAAAGACGGAGAGGGGTTCGAATTCGAAATGGCGTTGCGAGCAAATCATTCTAATTACTTGGGCGGCCGTGATCACTAAATCACCAATCAAATTTCTGCACGACTCTCAAAGCTCGATGGAACAGATCACGGCGTACACTTGAATTCCCGCCGAGCTGGCCAGTAAACGGACGGCCTGCCCTTGACCTTGCACCAATCTTAAAGATTTGAGTGGGTTCGATATTAAGGTCTCCCACCTTTGAAGTGTTTGTACTACACATGCTACCTATTTATATCATATAATTTATTTTGGTTTTCCTCTTATCTTTATTTGCATCAAATATATATTTCATGAGTTTTTAGACCTTTCTTCACAAAAAAAAGGGCGATGAAACTCATGAAAGCTGAATAATTCATTAACCATTACAACGTCTCGTATTTTTATTTCATCAATTTACTATAAATTTGATTGAACTTAAGGAGTTGCTGAGTATTGAATCGCAGAAAGGACAAATGAGTTTCTTCGGTGGTAATTAACATCATTAGTTCAATTCAGAATCATGCAAAACAACAGTAGTGGCATTATAATCTTCATACAATTTCCTCTATTTGCTGCTTAACAAAGATACTGTATAACAGTGACACGAGTTGTTCAAGTGCACTAGGCAACTTCTATAGCATACTTGATTGACATATACTGCACAAGAATTTTTTTTCTTTTTTTTTTGCACTTAATCTATAATGTACACTTTTACTTCGATTCTATGAGACTAAGTCTCTACTTGGGCATGAAAATTCTGGATGTCCAGCTGAGGAGCTTGATGACTATGGGGGATCACTTTTTTTACAATTGCGCAGAGCTGAAGAGATTTCCAAGTTTTCTGGAGAAATGCGAGGACTTGGCATCTGAGATTAGCCTCTGAAAGCCAATAGATCTCCATTTAACTCTGGTTTTGCTGTTTCAAGCGTGAAATTGTCAAAATTTGCTAATATTTTTAACTGTTGGTTAAGAGAGAGTATCGTTTTTTGGCACGCCACAAGCTTCCCAGCAGCCAGCTCCGTCTCTTTCTCCTGTGAACAAATCAAGAATGTTCATCAAACAATCAAGAAGTAAGAGCAATTTTTTTGCTTTAACAACGCTCAGTTTGTGGTGAAAAAAATCTTCAGGTAATAATTATGTGAAGTCTGGACATCCAGGCATTCAGATCAAGCAAAAAAGGAGAAAATTAAAATAAATGCAACTATGGTTACCTGTCGAATCAGCAACACTCTGTTTGAGCTTGCAGATAAATGGAATTCAGCTGCTTTCTGCTTGCTAGAAAGTTCATGCTCCAAGCTATGACACTTTGCAGCAAAGTCTGCGGATATTGCCCTCTCCTCTTCAATTTGTTTTCCTAATGTGGCCAACTTATCCTGGAGGCTCCCATTTTCTACATGTGCCATCTCAAGTTGCACCAACAATTCCTTTCTCTTTGCCTCTGTGGCCTCTATATTTACTGCAACTGCTGAGGACAATGCTCTCTCTTCCTCAAGTTTCCCTTCCAGTATATTAACCTTCTCCTGTAAATTTCTTACTTCCAAATGTTCAGCAGTAAGTTGACACTCCAGTTCGATTTTTTGTGCATCGATAGCTTCCATATTTTGACATTTGGATAAAAGTTCTGCTGAAAATGTCTGTTCCCCCTCCAGCTTCCTTTCAAATGAATTAACCTTCTCATGTAACTTGTGAAGTTCCAAATTTGCTGACTCAAGCTGACACTCTAATTCTTCTTTCTTTCGCTTCAGCGCTTCCATCTTCCAACACCTAGATGCCAGTTCTGTGGACAAAGATTTCTCTTCTCCAAGTTTTTCTTCTAGCAAACAAATTTTGCCCTTAAACTCTGCAATTTGATCATATGCTGATTCAAGCTCCAGTTCCTTCTTGTTCCTCTTAGCTTCTGTTGCTTCCATATCTTGGCACCTTAATTTCAATTTAGAAGACAACTTCTTCTCTTCCTCAAATTTCCTATCTAATAAGTTCACTCTCTCATGCAACTTTCCACTTTCTGCATGTGCTGATTCAAGGTGAAATTCCAGTCTATTTTTCTTTCCCTCTCCTGCTTCTACTTCTTTCTCAAGAACATGCTTTTCCTCATTAACCAATTTGAGCTGCCTTTGCAACTCAACCAACTGACCTTCAGCTGCTACCAGCTGATCACGTGTGTTCTTCAGCTGATTGTTCATTACAGTAAAAGACTTTTCCATTTCAACTTTCTCAGAATTCATCTTTTCAATCATCTCTTCTAACTCAGCAATATGCAGACGGATGGTCTGAACTTCTTTTCTTGAAGACCTGTTTCTGCTCACACTATGTTCCAAATCAGCATCACGCTCAATGTTATCACTTACATGGTCACCCTCAGGCAAGGCAACAAGTCTTTCCATCTCAAGGAAGTCATCCATTAGGTCAATTTCTACAGAATTGGTGAGATTTCTCACATTAGCCTTTTCCTTTCTGAATTGATCGAGGTCCATGATCAGAGCTGATGCCCATGAATCTGAACAACTTTGTTCAATATCCAGATTTAACAACTGTTTCCCTGCATCTGACTGGCTATCAGTGACAGACTCAACATAATGAGAGTTAGAAATGAGACTGTGCTCATTAGCTAACAATGACTTACGTGCTGCAGCTTGCAACCTACAACACTCAGATTCAAGCTTAGCCACTTTCTTTATGCTGATCAAATGTTGCTTACTAGCTGTTTCTGCTGTTCTAGTGCTGAACTCCAATTCTGATGCTCTGATTTGGAGATCCTGAGCAAGTGTAGCAATTTCAGCTTTAAGAGAAAAATTTTCTTCCTTGAGAGCTTTAATTGTTGAGTGAAGCTCATGGTCAAAGGAGGTGGTGATCTCTGCTTTAGCTTGCAGTTGGGCTTGTAGCTCATTAAGCCGTATCTCAAGATCAGTTTTTTCAGATTCCCAATCATTGGTTTTCTTGATGATAGCATCATGGACTTTCTGCTCTTGCTCTTCTCTTGTTAGCCGGAGCTGCCTGATACATTCCTTCAGGGCAGCGTCAAGATGAACAACCCTATCTTCAAGGGATGAGTTCTTTTCTGATGAATCTTTAACCTGCTTCTTCAGAAACAGCACTTTCTTTTCTGCATTTTCCCACACTGGCAAGAAAGTCATAGAATTTCACCATGTAAGCAACAAACCGATGACATGAAATAAACCAATAAACACTCTATCTAGTTCTCATGCAGCAAACAACTCTACATGCCTGGTATTCTCATCTAACTATTTTTCCACGATAAATGTGTACCTTGTTTTGGTGTACCCACAGCAGCATAGCTTTTAGAAAATTACCAGAGATGTGTTCTTGATAATTTGAAAGTAACTTTGAGGTGCCTTTAAGCTAATGAACATGTAAAACATAACAATGAACATAATGCAAGTTGTAAAGTTTACAGGTGATCGTGCAGAGAAGAAAACAAAGAAGTTAATTTCATTTTATCACATTCAATTGCATTCTGTAGATAATTTATCTATCCATTGGTGAAGCATATCCACTTAGGTCTAGTTTCTACAGTTAATATCGTGTTCTTTTCCAAATCATGTTCTTCAAGTTGTGCCACATTCTGTTATCATATCCATATTCATGTATAAAAGAATTTTGAATTGTAATCTACTCACCACCGGATACAATAATTGCATCGAAGCAAACATTTAAGTAATTCAGAATTTTACTGTTCAAAGTAGACACTGGTAATTGGATTTTAGTGACTATATAGATATGTAGAGCAAAAATAAAATAGCAAAAGATTAGCATAGTGATGTAAGTGAGCTATACAGAGTCTACAATTTAGCAGTCGTTTCTTTTGTATCACATGCGGAATATTTAAGTACTGAAAAATCCACTAGATCGGCATAAATGGTGTTCAATCATGTAGCAAACCTGGGTAGAGTTCTCATCAAGAACCACACTAATCTTGAAGGTAATTATTATCACCAAAGCAATTAAACCACTCAACATCCACTTTAGCATAAGAAACCTTGGTTTTGGCATTCATTTAGACTGTGTATGTGATGTGCATTCAACAGTTCAAAAACAAAGTAAAAAACACATAATTTTAGTTGGATTGAGCCTAAAAAATTATCTCTGTTGAGATGGGCAATTACTTCCCGAGAGCTCAATCCTGCTTGAAGTTTAGCCTTCAAACATGTAGAGCATGTTTGCGTTGATGCATCAAAATATAGTGTATTTGCTTGTGTCAAAAAAATAAAAAAATTAAGGTGTTTAGATGTTACCCAAAAGAGCTTCTTCGGCAAGTTTCACATGCTGCTTCACCAAATCTTCTTTAGCACTAATGTTCAGAAGAGCAGCTGATAGTTTCTCATTCAAATTTTTTATTGTCTCATTGACCTCATGACTAACATCCTTTGATGAAACCTCTGGTGACTGAGCATGGTTCGGAGAAGAGTTAATTGAAGAAGTCCTCAGTGCCTCCTATTAAATGATAAATGAATTCAGTTATTCAGACAAGGTGTTAATAATTCTTGAAAAATGCTCATACAGAGAGCAATTTCAACCTCCTGAAATAGTGGGCCAGAAGGAAACCTTTCTTAAGCAGCAACAGGAGATGACTATAAATTAAAACGATGGAATGCATCTCATTTATGGCTTGATCAAAGTCACTTAACTGACCACATCATTCCTGAGTTAGATATCTTCCACTCCTAACATACTTGAAAACTTAGATTACATTCTAAGAATACAGGTTTTACAGTTATCCAAGTCCAAAAATTTGCAGGTAAATGAATTATCATGGAATATACAACTTAGTCATGGAAATTTATTATTTAGTCTAGAAAAATAAACTTTCATATAATTATCACCATATGAAGACAGCAAATCATCATCGTTAAGGAGAGAAAACTCATAAACAGAAAGAAGAAAAGTAATGAAAAATCTTTAGAGCATATAGTGGCAGGGGAATACTAAAGAAGGTTGCTTGTTTGTTGGAAAATTTGACCATGAACATAGAGAACACAAAAAATATAA